GTCACTTCAGCACCTCCGTGTTGAGCATAAATACCACGGCTCTCAGAACAAGGAGAGAAAATGAGGTAAACTGCAAGCCTCCTGTTCATCTCAGCTTCCAGAAGGAGCAGGGGCCACTTCATTCTGCTGCTTTCACTGGTGCAGGGTGGAGAGAGGAAGTCAGAATGAAAGGCTTGGGGACGGGCGGGGGGGAGACTAGAATGCACAAGACTTGATGTTCTTTTTTATCAATATCTTTTGTTTTCATATCACCTTCATTTCTGAAAATAGTCCTTCCCCTCCCCCTACCTAGAAAGCCATCCCTTGTGACAAAGAACAAAAAAGAAAGAGGAAGGAAAGGGAAGTAATTCAGCAAAATTAACGAGCATCTCATCTGAATCTTAGAGGATATCATAGGGTCATAGATTCAGAACTGAAACGGACCTTAGAGGTCACTGATCCAACTCCCTCATTTTACAGGTGAGGAAACTGAAGCACAAAGAGATTAAGTGATTTGCCCGAAGTCACACAGCTAGTGTGGGATTCAGGTCCTCCTCCATTACACCACTGAGCCGCCTATGCAATGTTCTTTACCCATAGTCCTCCACCTCAGCAGAGAAGGAAGTGAGATGCTGTGATTTTTTTCCCCCACAATGGCTTGTACACAGAGAAGGAAATATATTTGAGGAATTAGAGAGCACTAACATTTGGAGTAGATGATGGAGAAGGATCAGGGAAGGCTACATAGAGGAAGAGGTTATACCTGAGCTGAGTCTTGAAGGATGATAAAGATTCTGAGAGGTGTAGGTCTGGAGGAAATATGTCCCAGGCCTGGGGGACCACTTATATAAATGCCCCGAGGTGAAAGATGGAATGCCAAAGTTGAGGCAAAAGCTAGTTTGGCTGGTCCAGTTTGGCTGGGAGGTAGAGTGCCTGGAGAGTGTTCATGTGAAATAACACTGGAAAAGTCAGTTGGAGCCAGGTTGTGGAGAGCTCTACATGCAGATTACAGCCAAGCAGGGGAATGAGCCACAAACACAGATAATTATAATAGACCATATTATAGGACCAATGCACTAGGGAGTTGCAAAACAAAACTCACTGTTCAAGAATGAAGATTATGAGAGATCAAAAATCTCCCAGCTCCCTGTGAGTACCTCCTGACTGTGAATGATCAAATCATTAGACACCGAATCTTTGCAGAGCACCTACAATGTGCCTAGCACTGGGCTCAACACTTACAGGGATTCAAAAATAATATCATGTTGCATCTGCCCTCCAAAGGCTTACAGTCTAGTGCAGGTGCAAAGAGTAAAACTGAGGAAGTAAACAGCAAATGATAAGTGGGCTTCTTTGCATAATGAAGTACTGGGCTGTGTCATTCATTCAAAAGTGCTATAGAAATTCAGAGGCTATCCCTTCCTGCTCTTCATTCTCTGATCTCAGAAATTAGTGAGGGCTAAAGGGATTGAGCAAGGCTCCATGAAACAGGTGGACTTGGTAATGACTCTTAAAAAAGATGAGTGAGGGGCAGCTAGGTAGCACAGTGGATAGAGTACCAGCCCTGGGGTCAGGAGGACCTGAGTTCAAATCTGACCTCAGACACATAACACTTACTAGCTGTGTGACCCTGGGCAAGTCACTTAACCACGATTGCCTAAAATAAAAAAAAAAGATGGGTGACCTCCAAATGGGCGCTGGGTAGGAGAGTGGGCATTAGGATGAAGAGGACAACAGAACATGAAGACATGGGTATGATATCTCGAGGTGAAAAGAGCACTGGACTCTAAGTCCTACAAACTGTCTTTGAGCTCCAGTATTCACTAGTTGTGTAGTCCTGAGCAAATCACTTTGAAAAGCTACACTACAGTTCCCTCATCTGTAAAATGGGCACGATAATATTTACACTGCCTGAATACTAGGATCATTGTGGGAAAGGTCCCTAATAAATCTTGGAGTGCTGAGTCATTATCATGATTATTTTAAAGACAGGAGTGAGAAAGGTGGGAAACAAAGGTGACAAGAGACAAGATCAGGTAGCAGAGAACAGAGAAGAGACAGAGAAGAAAATTCAATTCAACCAGCATTTATTTAAGCATTAACTGTACCTGAAAATAATCATAACCAGCATTTATGCACCATTTTAAGGTTCACACATCACTTTATATCTGTTGTCTCATTTGATCCTCACAACTGACACAGGTGCTATCATTATCCTTATTTGACAAATGAGGAAACTGAGACTGAGTGAATTAAGTGAATCAATTAATTGATTGATTGATTAAACTGAGATTTAAGTGAATCTTGTATAGACCATTGCTCATGGTCACACAGTTAGCAACTGTCTGAGACGGGATGTGAGCCCAGGATAGACACCATTCCTGTGCTTCATTGGTCTAAGACTCTCACATGAGGGAACTCCCTGTACCAATCTGGGTCAGCACCTTCTCTGCCGCTTATGTCTTAGACAATTGCCTAGAACAGTGACTTGACCTGAGTCACACAGCCAGTATGGGTCTAAGGCAGGACTTGAACCCAGGATTTCCTGGATTTGAGGCCGAGTCTATTCACAATGCCCTGTAAACATGCCTTGTATATGCAAGATATATCCAAAATAAATACAAGGTAATTGGGGATTGTTTAGTTGTTTCAGTTGTATCTGACTCTATGTGATCCCATGAACTTTGTCCATGGGGTTCTCTTGGCAAGGATACTAGAGTGGTTTGTCATTTCTTTCTCCAGTGTGTCCCCATTTTATAGAAGAAGAACTGAGGCAAATAGGGGTTAAGTGACTTGCCCAAGATCACACAAGTGTCTACGGCTGGATTTGAACTCAGATCTTCCAGATTCTAGGCTCAGTGCCCTATCCACTGCACCACTTAGCTGCCCAAATGGGGATAGGGAACACTACTAATAACTGGGGGAAAATCAGGAAAAGTCTCCTGCTGAATACAGCCCTAAAGCTAAGCTTTAGAGGGAGCTAGGGGCTCCAGGAAGTGGGGGTAAAAGAAAGAGAACACTGCAGGCATGAGAGATAGCCTATACAAAGGCTCAGAGGAGAGAGGAATATTATGTACAGTGAGCAGCTAGTCTGGCTATCATGCAAAGCATGTAAAGGAAGAGTAATCAGCTTGGGGGGAAAAAAGCTAGAACCAAATTGTGAAGGGTGATAAATGCCAAATTAATGGGTTTATATTTTATTCCTAGAGGTAATAGGGAGCCACTGAAGCTTCCTGAGCAGAGGAGTGACATGGTCAGCCTTGTGCTTTAGAAATATCAATTTGGCAGCAATGTGGAGTATGAAATGGAGAGAACAGTGACTAGAGGCTAGAGAACTAATTAGGAAGCTAATGAAATCAGTAGTCTAGGTGACAGGCAATGAGGGTCTGAATTAAGCTGGTTATGGTGAGAATGGAGAGGAGGGAAAGAATGAAAGAGATATTGTACAAGTAGAATTGATAAGACAGGCATTGTTTGGATATAGGTTGTGAGACAGAGTGAAAAGTTAAAGATTATTCCTAATTTACAAACCTGGGTGGATGGAAGAATGGTGATACCCTTGACAGGGATAAATAGAATGATATACTCTCAGACACAGGGACAGAGGTAAAATAAGTAAGAGTCAGGAAAAAAGAAGACTAAGACTGAGACAAGGGGGTGGGGAGAGAAACCAATAAAGGCATAGTGAAAAAGAAGATGCAAAAGTGAGAGGGAGGGAGAGAAAGAGACAGAAACAAAGACAGAGAGAACAGGGAAGAGGAAGAAAAAAAGAAGAGAGGGAAGAAAAATGAAGGGAAGGAAAAAGAGATAATCAAGGAAAGAAGGGAGGGAGGAAGGAAAAGGAAGGAAGGAAGGAAAAAAGGAAGGAAACAAGGGAGAGAGGGAAGAAGGGAGGGAAGGAAAAGAGTAAGATTGAGAGTGAAGGAAGAGGGAGCAATAAGAGGAAAGCAGAGTGGGAGATATAGCTAGAGGGATAATACTTTCAAAGGCAAGAAAGCCTGTGCAGGACATGATTTCCTCATCCCCAGTCTTGCTCTGCTGTGCAGACAGGTCCAATCCCTGGCCTGGTTGCAGTTCTGCCCTCAGAGCCTTAGCTAAGCTTATCTGTGCTCTGATTGCTCATAGGCTTAGCCCAACTCCTTTGGCATCAGAAGGGCAAGTGTATGCTAAGCCATCTCTGCTTTTCCTACTGTGTATTTTGAGAACTTGGGAACTATAACTGCTTCTCCAACTTTCTATCTTTTTCTGCATTTAGTGAAAAAGGTGCAGTGCTGGGGAAGCATCATTCTATAGTGGAAAGGAGACTGGATTTGAAATAGGAGATCTTCCATTAGTAAGATCTTAAAAATCCCATCTTGGTTTCCTCCTCTGTAAAAGGAAGGTACTGGGCTGAATGATCACTGAGATCCCTTCCAGCTATAGATTCCAGACTTTCCCTTCCGGTCTGGCTTAGCCCAGACCAGACATTTTTAGATATCCCAGTACTGATGTTGCTTACAATGAGATTAAATTCTAGCTCTAGTACAAACACTGCTTTAATAAAATTGGACCCACAGAGCAGAGGTGCTGTTTGCTTCTGCTGCCAATGGCTAACAAAAAGCGGCAGTCAATTCCCCCCCCCCCCCCCCCCCCCCTTGACAGTCTCTATCAAGGAAGTACAAGATGTCAATCAGTCTATCATAGGTATTTTTTTTTTTTGCAATACCTCAGGCATCTCTCTTTTGCACACTGGATCCCCAGAAAAGATATTCCTCTAGTCCAATTTCTTCATTTTAGAGAGGAGGAGACTGAGGCCGTTTAAATGACTGTCCATGATTACATAGCTAGTAAGTAGCAGAGCTGGAAATAGAACTCAGGTCCTCTGACTCCATTTCAGCCTTCCTTCCAAAGGCACAGATGGGATTTGAGCTGAGTGGAGAGGGAAGGAATGTATAGGCAAAGGCAAGGAGGTGGGAATTAAAGGACACCAGTCTTGCCTTTTGCAAACAATGTTCTCATGTGCTTGCTGGGTCTCATTGTAGCTATGGTTCTGCTGTTTGTGGTATGGATGAAACGCCGGGAGAAGGAGCGCCATACCAAGCAGCTGCTCATTGATCCTGAAGACGATGTCAGAGACAACATCCTGAAATACGACGAGGAAGGAGGGGGTGAAGAAGACCAGGTGAGAGTACTGGGCTCACTCTCGAGTCTCTCTCTTTGTTGCTCCATCCCTTCAATACATTAGTTATTTTCAAGCTGTTCAGTGTTCAAGAAGAGGCTAAGGCTGGAAAAGATCAAAGCTGAATGGCATTTGAGAAAAAAAGATGGAATTTCAGTCACTAGAGTACCTTGCACTCACCTGTCCAGATGCTAACTAGCCTTTTGAGTTTGATCTCCCTCAGGAAAATGCTAACTCTCTCCTTTCTCTTCAGTCAATTCAATAAACATCATGGAAAGAGCACTGACTGTCAGAGTCAGAG